CCCCAACTTTCTATGATTGATTTCATCCTCCATTTGCTAAATCCCATTAGAGTAACAGCTGTAATTCTACTAAAGTGCATTCTCACACAGAACCAAAACATACCATCAGAACTATAAAAAAATTGCTCTGGCCAGGCACGGATGCTCACACCTGTAATCCCACCACTTTGGGAGGCTGAGGTAGGAGGACTGCTTGAGCTCAGGAATTCGAGACCAGCAAGACCTCATTTCTAATAAAATTCAGGCCGGGCGTGGTAGCTCACGCCCATAATCCCAGCACTTCGGGAGGCCGCAGCAGGCAGATCACCTGAGGTACGGAGTTCAAGACCAGTCTGGCCAACATGGTGAAACCCCATCTCTAGTAAAAGTACAAAAATTAGCTGAGTGTGGTGGCGAATGTCTGTAGTCCCAGCTACATGGGAGACTGAGGGAGGAGAATCGTTTGAATCCAAGAGGCAGAGGTTGCAGTGAGCGGAGATGGCGCTACTTCATTCCAACCAGGGCGACAGAGCAAGAATGTTTAAAAAAACAAAATTAGCTGGGTGTAGTGCTGTAGGTCTATAAGTCCCAGCTACTTAGGAAGCTGAGGCAGGAGGATCACTTGAGCTCAGGACTTCAAGGCTGCAGTGAGCCATGACTGCGCCACTCCACTCCAGAATGGAGGACAGAGCAAGACTGCCTCAAAATAATAAAATAAAAATAGCTCTGAGAGTCAACATACTTTTATAAGCTACTCAAGCATTATTTCTTTTTTTTTTTTTTTTTGAGACGAGTCTCGCTCTGTCGCCAGGCTGGAGTGCAGTGGTGCGACCTCAGCTCACTGCAACCTCTGCCTCCCAAGTCCAAGCAATTCTCCTGCCTCAGTCTCCCAAGTGGCTGGTATTACAGGTGCACACCACCACACCCAGCTAATTTTTGCATTTTTAGTAGAGGTGGGGTCTCACCATGTTGCCCAGGCTGGTCTCAAACTCCTGACCCCAGGTGATCCAACCACTTTGTCCTCCCACAGTGCAAGGATTACAGGCATGAGTCACGGCACCCAGCTCATTATTTCTACTGGTCAAAAATTGCCCAGGCAAATACAAAAGCTTCTGCTTTTGCTATATGCCTAGGTAAAGAAGCTGTAATGTTTGTTTTCTACCTTCAGTCTAATTCCATAATCAACATCAAAAGAAAGGACTTGCTATAACAAGATGTCTTGGAATAAATAATAAATCGATAAACGTAGTAAGATTTAAAAAAAGGAACGATCACATTTTAAATGGTAGTATCTTTGCATAACTAACGAAAATAAAATCTATTTCTGATATTTCCAGAAATCCAAATGGGAAAAATGCTTGTGGCCACAAAGCATAAACACACCTCCCTCATTTTGTTTTTTGTGAGATAGTCTCTCACTCTGTCACCCAGGCTGGAGTCATGGTTCACTGCAGCCTCAACCTCCCAGGCTCAAGCAATCCTCCTGTCTCAGCTTCCAGAGTAGCTGGGACTACAGGTGGAAGCCACCATGCCCAACTTTTTTTTTTTTTTTTGAAACAGTGCCACTCTGTCACCCAGGCTGGAGTGCAGTGGCACAATCTTGGCTCACTGCAACCTCCACCTCCCTCATTCAAGTGATTCTCCTGTCTCAGCCCCCAGAGTAGCTAGACTACAGATGCGCACTGCCATATCCAGTTAATTTTTTGTATTTTTAGCAGAGATGGGGTTTTACCATGTCGGCCAGGCTGGTCTCGAACTCCCGACCTCAAGTGATCCGCCCACCCCAGCCTCTCAAAGTGATGGAATTACAGGCATGAGCCACTGTGCCCAGCCCCAACTAATTTTTAAAATTTTTCTTTTGTAGAGACTAAGTTGACCAGGCTGGTTTCAAATCCCTGGACTCAAGCAATCCTCCTGCCTCGGCTTCCCAAAGTGTTGGGATTACAGGTGTGAGTCACTGTGCCCGGCCTATCTCCTTTTTTTTTTTTTCTTTCCTGAGAGTCTTGCTCTGTAGCTCAGGATGGAGTGCAATGGCGTAATCTCAGCTCACTGCAACCTCGCCTCCCAGGTTCAAGCTATTTTCCTGCCTCAGCCTCCCAAACAGCTGGGATTATAGGCGCATGCCACCACACCCAGCCAATTTTTCTAACTTTTTTTTTTTTTTGAGACGGAGTTTTGCTCTTATTGCCCAAGCTGGAGTGCAATGGCGCCATCTCAGCTCACTGCAACCTCTGCCTCCCGGGTTCAAGCAATTCTCCTGCCTCAGTCTCCTGAGTAGCTGGGACTACAGGTGCACGCCACACCCAGCTAATTTTTGAATTTGTAGTAGAGACAGGGCTTCACCATGTTGGCCAGAGTGGTCTCCATCTTTTGACCTCGTGATCCTCCCGCCTTGGCCTCCCAAAGTGCTGGAATTACAGGTGTGAACCACTGCACCCGGCACCTCCTTCATTCTTATAAGAGGTTTACAAAAGTTCTGAAATAAGGTAACCACCCAAGTAAACAACAACAACAAAAAATATCATTATGTTGGTTTGCCAAAGGGAATGAATGCCTGAAATCAGTGAGTGTTCAAAGTTAAACTATACACCCAAAGATATAGTAAAAAGAATATGATAGTCACTAAAATTACTGTTTTTTTCCCATTAAACAAAACCTAACAGAATTAACAATGTAACTTCCTTATGTTTCTATTTCCATTATATTTTAACTATGATTAACCAGAGAAACCTTCAAACTTCAAGCTTTCTTGATTCTGTAACTAGTTAACAAAGTCCAAATATGACTACATATTTCTGTTTTCAAAGTATCCAAAATATACTCACTTGATTCCATTTGTTTTTCAGTTTTACAAAATCTGTTTAATACTCCAAGTCAATATTTGTCCTAAATTATCTCTTACATTATGATATTTGAAGAAATGACTGACAACCCCGCAAACTACAACAGGAGTGCAGTTCCTAATTTCCAAAGCTACTCACTAAAGTTTAATGTTTTTGATAAATAGTCCTTACCACTCTGGCTGCTCTCTCCTGAGATTCACATTTCCTGCAAAACCATGGTCCAGTGGGTACTTGAACAATGCCATAGCAAGCTGTTGAAAAATGAAATGTATTAAAATGTTAAGATTCGAAGAACTATGGAAAAATCAAATACCCTTTCAAAGCCCTATTAATCTACCTGTCACTATTCAAGTAAACTACCTCTTTACAAAGTAAAACAGTTCATATCCTATTTATCACACATACAGCTTACTTAATTAAAAAGTAAAAATTTTAAATGCAACTCTTTTGTGTTACCTCATCTAAACAAATCAAGGCTGGGTGCAACGGTTCATGCCTGTAATCCCAGCATTTTGGGAGGTCAAGGTGGGAGGGCTGCTGGAGCCCACGAGTTCCAGAACAGTCTAGGCAATACAGTGAGACTCCATCTCCACAAAAAAAAAAAAATTTTAATTAGGCCAGGCGCAGTGGCTCACACCTGTAATCCCAGCACTTTGAGAGGCTGAAGCAGGCGAATCACCTGAGGTTGGGAGGTGAAGACCAGCCTGACCAACGTGGAGAAACCCTGTCCCTACTGAAAATATAAAATTAGCCAGGCGTGGTGGCACATGCCTATAATCCTACTACTCAGGAGGCTGAGGCAGGAGAATCACCTGAACCCAGGAGGCAGAGGTTGCAGTGAGGTAAGATGGCACCATTGCACACCAGCCTGGGCAATAAGAGTGAAACTCCGTCTCAAATTAAAAAAAAAAAAAAAAAAATTAGCTGGGCATGGTGGCATGTGCCTATAGTCCCAGCTACTCAGGAGGCTGACCTA